TTTGTCTCCTGCACCATTTCTGGGCGGGGGTGGGGGGGAAGCGTGTCAGCAAACAGGAAGAAAGCGGGGGCTGCGTTCGTAAGGATGGTCTGGCGTACAGAGAGCAAAACAAAGCGAGTGGGATTCTGCAATGCCTTCCCCGCAGCAAGCAGCGCTTCTCCTTTCTTCCTGCCGGTTCAGCGAACCAAAGGGGAGGTGTGGTGGGTGGGTGGAGCGTGCCCTTTCTATAAAGGTCCCTGCGGCGGCAGGGAGGGGAGAGAAATCAGGGCAAGCCGGCGGATCTAGCGGGGGGCCCTGGTGCCATGCCAGCGCCTGTGCGCAAAAGACGGCCCGTTTGCTCGTGGGGCGGGCGGCGGCTTAAAATAGCCATCGCCCCAGTGAAATTAAGATGGTTGCCGCATTATTTGCCTTCAATCGACCATGTTTGAACCCCGGAGCTCAATTAATGTTCTCCTTCCGCAAAGGGGACAGCAGGGGGGAACTTCTGACTCCATGCTCTTGTGCTACTTTTTAAACTTTGATCACCAGCCTAAAGGTTCTGACTCAAAGCCACTGCTCAGGATTACGCTGAAGTAAGATATTTCAGGATCGCTGCCCTGGTGGCTTTGACCATTATTTAGTCCTGTGCGGAAGCAACCTGGAAAAGGAAGGCTGAGCGGACGACAGCCCAGCTCTAAGAGTACTGATCCTGAACAAAGCTTTGCTGTGCCGCGAGGTTTATCCCAGGATAGGAGGATGCAGGACTGCATCTCACAATGCGACCCTATGCCTGTCTGCACCCAAGGTATGCCTAGTAGGACATGCAGCGCAATCCTAAATCTGTCTTCCCTGGAGTAAGCCCTATTGAGTTCAACGGAATGTAGCCTAAGGCTAGGCACACTTACATGGGATTAAATCCCACCGAGCTCGGTTTGGCTTACTTCTGAGTAGGCATCTGCAATGTAAACCGCTCACAGGGTAATTCATAAATCACTGCGTGGCTTAGGGATCGAGCTCATGCACCAGGCTTGCAAAGGATCAAAGCGGTTTGGAACCAAGGCGAAACACCTGTGCGCCCTGTGCACAGGGCGCTGTTTTTGGTTTGGAGAGGAATGTGACCATCGGGCTTAACGCGAACCGAGCGGTGACGCGTTGCAAGCGACGAGCAGGGGATGTTACTTCGCGAACGGCGCTGCCAGCGCAGTGCGGCCGCCGGTGCCAGCGCGCTCTAATCCAAGATTTCCAGAGCTGTCCTGAGGATTAGCGCGAGGCAGACTTGCGGGTGTCCCGGTGGGAAGAATGCCGGGCTCGGGCTGGGAAACGCTGCACGCGGATTCCGCGCCTGAGCAACGCCGCTCGAGGCATGCCCGCGGCAAGATCGACCCCGATTCCTTCGTCTAGCCTACATTACAGGATTGTCGTGAAGATCAGATGGGGGTGGGGGGATACGCACTCCGTGCAAGCGGATCAGAAGGCATAAAAGTATAATAAGCGCCGAGCATAATTCAAAAGGACACATGGCTTTTCCCACTGACGGATATTAACACATCTGAGTCCGTCATTGACCGGGTCGAAGCCCTTCTTCCAGGGCTTTCCTACACCGAGTTATGAGACTCCGGGCATCTTTCATGACCTGGTGCCTCCAGATATTTCGAGGTACAACTCCAAGGATTCCTTACTATTGCCCATGCGGGATGGGGCTGATAAAAGCGGTGGTGATAAACAGCTGGAAAGCGTTTTTGAGGGAGAGGGAAGAGAACTGGATTGTTGTAATTTGCTTCAAATAATGCAGCAATTATGCCATTCCTTTCTACCCAGTCCTAAATGAATGCACTCCTTGATCCTTTGCACATTCTCTCAGAACTACCTTCTGCCAAGTTTAATGGGACACAGTGCCAAGGGAGGGTATTGAACAGCGATCCCTTGCTTGGAAATATAGATGGCTGTCCTCCATTAAGTCCAAGTAAACTGTGCTCAGTTGTAGGATTTGGGGATCCCATTAGTTGGGTCGATGTGGCCCAGAACACTAAATTAATGGCGAACAACAGAGGAAGTCTGAGCATACTTTTCAAATGGGCTTGGAATGTGCTGCATGTTCTTCCCAGTGCATGTCCCCTTCCCATGGGGCAAAGCCTTTTAAGGACTGATATCCCAATCTATGCACACCAGAGCAGAGCGCACACAGGTGGGCCGTGCAGAGCCAGCGCTGCCACCTTAAACACGTTCCACAGAGCCACTGCCATTGTCCTCAGTGGAATTTCTTGTGCGTAAATGAAGTGCCCTTGCCAACTATTCCAGTACAGAAAATGGTGAGGCCTAAAGTTGGAAGTGGAAGGGCTGATCTGAGCAGGACTGGTTTTATTTTACTTCCAGTTGCGAGGGTCTTTCTTTAGGTTTACTGTTTGGCATTGGTAATAAATGGCAAGATAGATAGACAGACAGACAGATAGACAGACAGCTAGATAGACAGATAGATGGTAGATCTGAATGTGAATGTTAGATTCATCCTGATAGCCTAAGTTTAATCACTTTTAAATTATACTGCTTTCAATGGAAGAAAGTAAAGCATATGTTTAATGCTCCCATGGAAAACAATGGTATTGAAGTGCTTTGTCTGGATCCCATCTCTTGTCCTTCCTGAGTTACTCAGGTTGAACTCAGCATTTTGGGAAAGTATGGATACCTTTACAAAGAGATAAAGGAGAAATATACCCTTCCAAAGAAAAGATAGCTTTCATAACCAAGTGAACTTCTGTCCATCTCAGTCAGTTATATGAATAAATAACAGAAAGGAAGGGAGGGGCAAGGTACTTTTGCTACTACTGTTACTGCTATGTCATCATCACTTCTAAATAATGTTTCAAAATTATTGAATTGTGCACAGCTTAGGCAGCAGCCCTAACCATCTTTTCTGAAAGCAAATCTCATGAAACACAGGGAACATTTCCAGTGGCAGAATAACGAGATTCTGTGGGCCATGCGATTACAGGAAGCTGTTTTCTATGGAGTCGCTTCATTGGTCCATCCAGTGTCGCTGACACAGATTGGCAAGCGTTCTTCAGAGTCCTTCCTAGCCCTACCTGGGAATACCAGGGACTGGCCCTGGGACTTTCTGCCTGCAGGGCAGGGGCTATACCACTGGACGGGTGAATAATGCTGTTCCAGGAGGCACTCTTCCAGTGACAGGAAGGGAGGGAGGAAGGAAGGGCGAGTCCTTGTGGCTGCGGTTCGGTCATGCCCAGAGGCACATAAGGTACTGGACAATTTCATGGAACAGTCACCAGAACACAAAATGCACACCAAGCTCCTGTGATTGAGGTGTTTCCAAGCAAATTAAAAAATGGTCTCGCTTCTTAATAATATTGGCCTGTCACAGAAAAAGGATTTATCCATCTGCTTGTAACTGTTAGTTCAAGATTCTTCCTCATGGGCCTGAGTGTGTGTGTGTGTGGGGGGGGCGCTTTTCCTTGCATCAACTCAGTGGTGGAAAGGAGTGGGGGAATAAAACAACTGAATTTACAGAACCATAATAATAGTAGTAGTAGTAATGCAGAAGATGATGAAGCAGAAGAGGAGACAATGGCTTCTCCATGAAGGCCAAGGAGGGAAAGCATCCCCCTTCCATTCATTATGCCGTGTAGCTAAGCAACCGTCTGCAAAGTACTGATCATTCCCCTCTTCTCTCCCCCCCCCCCACCTCCTTCTATTGCTCTTCCTGGCAAAAGGCGCCTCAGTAGAAATTCAATATGATCTTGGATGCGAGGCAGGGAGCTGTCAGACAAATTTCTTTCCAACCCATCCTGGAACTAGAAGGAGCCAGAAAATTTCGTGACATTATTAGTCTTCCCCATATATATATATTTATATACACACGCGCGTGCGGAGAGGGGGGGCAGAGTTGCTCCCCTTGGACTTTTAGAATAGCTTTGGACCTACCTCTTGGCTTGCCTTGTATGTGTCCCTACCCTTACAATGCAGCTAAAGTTAGTTGAAATCAAGTAAGTTTAGTCAAAGCAACCCACAGGGAGTGGGGCTCATTCTACTTGCACAGAACCAAGCTTCTAGTACAACTAAATTTATCAGATCGGTGCCTACATTTCTCCCCTTAATCTGAATGAGAAGGGTAGAGGTTGAAAGAGGGGAGCAACAAGCCAGGATGACAAGATTTCCAATCACTTGCTCCTATTTTTCCTCCTAAAGGGAAGAAATATTTACCACATCGATCAAGAAAAATATATAGAATAAGAAGCATTGGGTGTTTTAATATATAAATATTAAACGTGTGGGGAGAGGGAGGGGGAAAGAAGAATTACAGCATTAACATAGATCCTGAACACAATCTACACTTTATTTCAGACTACAGAATTCTGAACATAAGAAAAAAATCTTTGGCTTGCAGCAAGGGGTTCAGTCTCGCAGTCCATGGGTCATATTATTGTTCTTACCCAGAAAAAGAAACAACGCACACGCACACGCACAAAGTAAGGGTAGGTAAAGGCACACACAAGAACGCAGGGGAAAAGGGTGGAAAGCAAAGTCGGAACGAGCCAGACAGACGCTTCAAACCCAAGATGCTGGAGTGGGGAGAAAGGAGGAGGAGACTGATAATTAAGAAAGGGAAAAGGAAAAAGAAGGAAAAATGATAAATCGGCGGTGGAGGGTGGGAGGGAGAGAGAATGCTCAAGACTTGAGCAAATAGAAAAAAGCTATACATTATCATCAATTTTTTCTTACCTGAAATTAAATATATACAAGATCATACGATGTTTGGTTATATAGATAATTTTTGTAAGTGTTCGGATTTTTTTTAGATTGGAATCCTTATAACTATGAATAGACAATAAATTTGATTTTCTTTTCTTTTAAATAGCACCCTTCTAAGTCCCCTTCAAATGTGTCACTGCAGTAAAGATGTCCTTTGTTTATTTTTTAATTTTTTTCCAAATTGTCCTCTCTCGTTTTGTATGCTTATTTTTTGTCTTCCCAGGCGATCAGGTTCATAATAATATTATAATAATTTTAATAATTATAATAATAAGGTTAGGAATTTAAAAAAACCAAAGCGAAAGTCTCCGGGAGCCCGCTCATTCGCTGTCCTCTTTGTCTTGCACGGTGGTGGTGGAATGGTTGTAAAGTCCTTGGGCCATGAGGTGGAGGGCGAGGCCGTTCTTGATGCCGGTGGCCTTCTTGATCTTGGCTCGCTTGTTCTGGAACCAGATCTTGATCTGCGATTCGTTGAGGCTGAGCTCCTGAGCCAAAGTCTGCCGCCGCTGCTCGGTGATGTAGCGGTTCGCCTGGAACTCCGCCTTGAGTCTTTGGAGCTGCTCCGCCGTGAACGCGGTCCGGGGCCGCTTGTCTTCCTTCTCGTTCTTCTTCTTCTTCAGCTTCCTCGTGCGGGGACCTACAGGCGGAGCGGTGGGTGGGGTGGGGTGGGAGAGAGAAGCACAGACAAAGGGGAAGGGGGTAGGGGCCAGAGACGGGGGAGGGGGAACAGCGTTGCCAGATCAGAAGCAGTCCAAAACAACCACCACCAGCAGCAGCGCCGTCCGGACACAGTCACGAAGCCCTGCCATTAGGGGCAACTCTGGTCGGTCTGCGGGGCGCCCTGCGTGGGAGCCGCGCTGGCCTCTTGCTCCGGAATCCAGGGGCGACACGTCCCTTTCAGAAGGGGGCATGTGGCGACCGTAACGAGGGCGCGGGGGCTGGCCGCAGAGTGGCAGATGAACTGCTCTCCTTGGATCGCTGCAGCTTCCCTTTCCAGTCCAGCCCACACTAAATTAAAATGTGGGGGCATCCTGCCCCCAGAGCCGTTCACTGGGAAGGGAGTCCACCGCTGCAGCGACAGGCCTTCATCCCCTCCTGGCGCAACATCGCCAGCACCACGCAGCCTGCAGTGGCATGCAGCGAGGGGAAAGCCCAGAGAAGGCGAGGCGGGAAGAGGGCAGAGAAAAAGCAACAAAGAGGCAGCGGGGAGTGAACCAAGGAAAATGCCTGCATTGCGCTCATTCACACGAGTTTACCTGCTGACTCTTCCCATCTGGGCCCCAACTCCATAGATGCGTGCCACATCTAAAGCAATTTACTATTGATCGCTCTATATCTATATATCTGTGGCTATAAATAGGCAGATGGGGGATAAATAGATTGACAGATCAATCTGTTCGTTTACGTTTAACTAGCTGGCTGGGGGCATCTGGAAATCCACACAAATATAATGTTTGCATTGTGGTGCCGGTGTAACATCCCCACGTACAGTTTGTCCATGAATTATCAAATCCTATTCCCCCTAAAAGACACCTAAAATACATCAAGTCTTATTTCTTAAAGGCAAAGTTTCTTAATGGATATCAGACCCTTTAAAAGGAAAAAAACGGCTAACTGATTTGCTGAGCAGTTCAGGAAACTTACATAGAGAGAAACAGAAACAGAGACACAATCAGACAAAGTTAGGGGGGATTATTTTTCAGCAGCTGGAGACTTAGATCCCCCTTTTGCACTCAAAGTTGGTTTATAGTCACAGGGACTTGCAGAATTCCTGGTTTTACAAAACGGCCACAGATCAGATAAGCTGCGTTTCCAGCGCTGCAAGAGTTAAACGAGATATGTTAGGGAGCACGCCAGGAAACCAGCCCGACGTCATTCACCTTCGATATTCACCAGTGTAAAGCCATGTTTCAAAACACACAACAAGAAGCTCCCACTGAATTTTAAGGTAGTAAATACTGAGACAGAATTAAGTGTGAATCCAAAATAAAAACAAGTCGTCTGTGCTCCATTTCTGTCTTGTTTTGTGGAGGGCTGGGTGGCAAAGGGCCATTGCCCAACTATTCCACAAGTCCTCACTTCAAACTTTCTGCCTCAGATACCTGTTCATTTGGGGTGGGGGGGAGCAGATTTAAAAATGCGTTTCGATCCAGAAAAAGGTCCCGATTCATTTCTCCAGATTAAACCAAGGGCACCCCTCAATAAGCAAGCATGTTATAAGACATTTTAAAACAAGCGAGCGAGCAGAACTGTAATATGTGAATAAAGAGAAACAGGAACTAAAATAGCTTTAATGTAACAAGCGAAGTTTGGCCAACATGCTTACTATATAGAGATCTATTCGAACAGGTGCTGAACCGGTGGAATCATCTCACACCGCCACCCTCTCTCTCCCCTCACGACTGCACGCTAGTCAGCACCCCCGTTGCCTTTTGGGTGCCGCCCGATTAAAAAGGAGAGAAAGAAGATGCAACCAGGCAGCTCTTCTGCCCTGTTTCCGGAGCCTTTCGCCCAAGCCCTCGCGCGCCCAGAGCTCCGCACAGGCGTCCCCGCACCGGGACAGACTTCCTTAAAGGGTCTGGCGCAGCCCCTCGGAGCTGGTGCCCCCGAAACTCGGCGGATCAACGGATTTCCACGAGCGGGAATAAGGCTCGGGAAAGACAAATCTCCCGAAGGCGTTTCCACTTAGGGAGAGTTGGCACGGATGGCGCTCCAGGGCCCGGCCCGCTCCGCTTTCGTGCATGGTTCTCTTCGCGGCCGAGTCGAGGTTCTCTCCGCCCGCCCGCAGCCGGGCGCACGCAAGAGGCCCGCTCGGTGCAGCCGTCGCGGCCCCGGGCGGGCTCAGCCCCGTCTCCATGCGCGCCTCTCAGACCCCATCAAACAGCAGCCCCATCCCTCCCACTCGCTCCTTGAGCCCCCCCCCCGCCGCCGCCGCCCCCCGCTTCGCACACACTTTTTAAGAGGGGGCGGACATTGGGAACGACCTCGCAGGCGCAGGGGCCGGGCTGGTGCCGTCGCTCGCTTCGCAGGTCGCAGCGCTGGCGCGACGCGTCTCCGCAGCCCACTCGTGTTGCTGGAGCAAATGAATCCCACGTGCCGGATGAGGCCAAGTGCTGATTGCAGATGGCGCACGGCCTTGCCATAACTCTCTTGCTTGGCTTGGTCGAACGCACACCGTTTCAGGAAAGGAAACGCTGATCGGAAATCTAAACGAAATTATACCTAGGAAGGCCTTTGGCGGTTATAGGTGGCATATAAATAAGTTAATAAATAAATAAATCCCTGAGCAGGATTTCCCCACCCGCCCCCTAAAAAATTACCACATTGCACAGAATGTCCAAAAGCACTCAATATCGAGAGAGAGATTCCAGCACGATTATTTCAAATCTAAAAAGAGGGATAGTCGTTTAAATAAACTGAGTTGACATGGAGGCGCACTGCTTTCGGAATTCTTTCAAAGATATCCTGCACTGAGCGGGGCCAGTTTCTTGGACAGGAGTCTGATAGAGAAAACCTGTCAGAAGCAGGCCCCAAACTGAGAGAACTGGCTTCTTTTAAGAAAAAACATCTTAACCCAAAAATAAAAAGTGTTAGTATGCTTTTATATTCGTGCATATGTGTATATTGAGGGTAAAAATAAGAATCTCAGAATTCCCCCCTCGAATTTATATAAGAGTAACAACGATAGCCACAAATGTCCTAGCAGTATTTCCTAGAAAAGTCTCCCAGGCACGAACTCCACCGCAAAAAAGAAAAAAAGAAAAAAGCGGGTGGGGGGGAGCTTTTGCGCGTCGTTTTAGCTAACCGGTGAAGTTAGGTCAGGTCGTGGTCCAATGGGGAAGTGAAACAGCATATTCTAAGGACCGACCAAATCCCTCCGAGGAGGAAGAAGAGAAGTGATGGGTGAACACTAGCTCCTCTCTACCCCCCCCCGCCCTTTTCACACGCACACGCAGAGAGAGGAAAGGTGAGCTCAGAGGAGGATCTGGGGGCCTGCAAGCTGGAAAAGGCCACTTTTAACCTTTAACCCTACACCAAGCAACATTTGTCAGCAGAGGCCTGCGCTCGGGCTGCCGCGTGAGGAGCGATGCTTTCCTTGGTGGGAGAACGGCTTCCCCCCACTTCTTCTTTTTCTTTTAAAGGGCAAGAAAGGAAGAACCAAACCCAAGCTAGCTCAAATGCCAAGCTTCGCAAAGCAGCGGCCTTGGGAAACCAGTAATAAAATCATTTCACTTGGCCGCGGAAGGCAGAGCTGACAGCTCAATCACTCAATCAATCCGTTTAGTCAATCAAAGTGGCTTTTCTGAGTTTCGAGGCGCGGGCATGTGTCAATAGCGGCCTGATCGAGATGGCGGCCGCTGATAGCGGCGGATTGATCAATCGCCCGCAGAAAGGAGCTCCTCGCAGAGCTCCGAGCCTGGAGGGGCGGGAGGGGGGGCGGGAAGCAGAGCGAAAGGGCGCCTCGGGCCGCCTCGCTGGGCCGGGCGGGCTCGGCTCGCACAGCACCCGCAGGCCTCGCTGCCGCGGCGCAGCGGACGGGCGCGAAGGGGCGCCCCGCCAGCCCCCGCGCCGGCCTTTCCAGGCGCCTTCCCTGCCTGCCTTTTCTCCACGGGGGGCGAGAGAGACCGGCTACCGTCCCCCCGAACCACTCCTGGCCCCTCTTCCTTTTCCGGAAGAACCTGCAATCCAGCTCTCCCGTGGCCATCGAATACGCATTCTGCCAATTCGCGGGAGCCTCCGAGAACCAGCCGGTTTCCCGACCTGTGTCTGGGCATGGGCGCCTGAGGGTGGGCGGTTTTTTAATCATTTCAGCGACTTTGTGGGGAAGAGGAGAGGGAAAGGGGTGCTTTTCTCAGCTAAATACTGCCCACGGGGTGAAATCCCCTAACGCTCTGTGCTAAGGACACCGAGAAGACGAAAGAGAAGGCCTGAAGGCCTGGACTTTTCTTCTCCACGGCGAAGGAGCTTCTGTTTGGTTTTCGGAGAAGTCCTTGTGCGTTCCCTCTCTCTCTCTCTCTCTCTCTCTCTCTCTCTCTCTCTCTCTCTCTCTCTCTCACACACACACACACACACACACACACACACACACACTGCCTCTTCCCTTTTGCCCGGAGCCCTGCCTCCTGACTGTTTCTTCACAAATATATCCAACATATGCAACACGTGTCTCACCCACCCCATAATTCTCAGTAGCAAATCATAATGAATACGCATCAAAATACTAACCCTCTGCACCTAAGTCGCCACATATAAACCGAGAATTCTACCCCTAGCCGACATCTGGAAGTCCAAGGCTCACCCACGCACAAGCAATGCCCTCCAGTACTATTACTTTCGAAATATGTGTAGCCAGTGCACGTGTGTTTTCCACTTTCGAATGCGCACACGGGATGGGAGGGCAGGGGCAGCCGGCCGGGCGCAACGCCTCTCCCCGTCCTCACCCGCGCAGCTCAGTCGCACAGCTGGCTCGCAAGACCCCGCTGACTTCCAGCGGCTGGACAGGTCCGCCCCGAAAGCTTGCGGGTGCTTCCCGGGCCCTGCCTTGAGGACTGCGGGGGAGATGCATTCCCCGCCCGCCCGGATGTTTGCTGGCAAGTCCGTGAAGTTTGCTACTCCCCGATCACTGCCCATAGGAAGCCCACCTTAGTACATCTACACACAGAGAGACATTTAAAAACCTTCAGGGGGCAACCGGACACCCTCGAGCCGAAAATGAGCTCTTTGGAGAGCGAGCAAACAAGTCGGATCCACTCCGCAAAAGCCTCTCCGAAGCGAGGCCCCGACACCCTCCCGCGCCACGCCGCAGCTCCGCGCACCCCCGCCTGATCCAGCCCCAGCCCGGGTTGGTGGCGAGGCTGGGAGAGGAAAACCCCCTCTCAGGAGGGCTTCTGCGGGCACCCACCGGACTGTGTCCGGCGGACGATGGCCACGTTATGGCGGCCCCGGACCGGCCTCTCCGCAGGCAGGGCTGCCCTGGAGCGCGACCCCCGCCCCCCGCTGCAGGCACCCCCCCACGCGCACTGCCACGCGGGGCCCGGGCTTGCTCGCGAGTAGGCAGCGCCAGGCGCGGAGGAGGCGGCCGTCCCCTCGGCTCGGAGCGCCGGCCTGGCGATCTAAGCAGCGCTGCAAGCATTCCCACAGAAGACAAGGAAGGGGGCAATTCCGAAGGCACGGAAGAGGATTCTTACCCGAGGATGGTCTGTCTGAGTACCTAGTGCAGTAAACCCAGGCCGGCCAAACCAGCGGCTGCTGACTATCGCTCTTGACCACGGCTCCTCCATTATTGGAGCCCATGAGGAGGATGGCGGGGTTGGCGTGCTCCCCGTACTTCGCCGGGTTAGTTCCACTCCCTTCCGAGCAGGAGGAGGAGGAAGAGGAGGAGGAGGAGGAGGAGGAGGTGGAGGAGGAGGGGGGCTTGGCCGTCCCTACCGCTGCTGCCGCCGTGGCGGGGCTCGCCTTGGAGGCCGTGGAGGAGCGCTCGGGGTTCCCGTGCGAGTCCGCGCTAAGGAGAGAGGAGGCCGGGTTGGGGGGCCTGCCGAGCAGTGGGTTGACATTTTCTCTACCTGAGCTGGCCGCGCGATCTAGGTCTCTTTCCCGGCCGCAGCCGCCGCCGCCGCCGCCGCCTCCTCCTCCTCCTCCCGCAGTCCCGGCGAGGATCAAGAGCTGCTCTTTCTTGCAGCCAAAGTCCGGCCTCAGGATGTTGTCGATGAAAAAGTTGGTGGTGCGATGCTGCTGCTGCTGTTGCTGCTGCTGCTGCTGCTGCTGTGGCGGCGGCGGCGGCGGCGGCGGTGGTGGAGGCGGCGGCGGCGGCGGCGGCCGGGGGTGCTGCTGCGGCGGCGGCTGCTGCTGCTGCTGCTGCTGCTGGGGGAGCGAAGGCGCCGGCTGCTGCGGGTGATGGTGGTGGTGGTGGTGGGGGTGGTGGTGAGCGTGGTGGGGCAGAGGCACGAGGCACGGCGCGGCCGGCGACAAGGGAGCGTGGCTGCTGGGCGACACCGGGACGCTCTCGCCATCGCTGCCGCTGCCGCTGCTGCTGCTGCCGCCGCCGCCGCTGCCGCCGCCGCCGCCGCTGCCGTGCTGGCTGCTGCTGCTGCTGCTGCTGCTGTTGCCGGCCGAAGTTGGAGCAGACTCACGCTGGCTTGGACTGTCCGTCTGCTCTTCCATAGTCGGCCGCCAGCACCGAGGATCGCGGTCTTTTCTCTCGATTCCCACACCCCACTTTTGCAGGAGGTGGCAAAATTAGGATGGTGAAGATGGTGGTTGCAGTTATTTAAAATGAGAAGCGGGGGAGACAATATAAAATCCACTTGTTGGCTTGGAGAAGAATCTAGAGAGAGATATCCAAAGACTCAGACATTTGGAGGGATTCTCTTTTCGTTTTTTGTTTTGCTTTTTTCAGTTATCTTATACTCTCTCCCCCCTCTCTCTCTCCCTCTCTCTCTCGCACACGCACACACACACAGAGACACGCACCCCTTCCAAAAAGAGAGAGAGAGAGAGAGAGAGAGAGAGAGAGAGACCAAAACAAAACCAATCCCCCAAACCCCTCCCCCCTCCCCCAAAGTCTTCTCACAATCTACCCATCTTTCTTCAAACGCCGCAGCGCTGGGGTTTCCCCCAAGTGTCAGAGTCAGCTTTGCCCACGGATCAGTCTTGGCAGACGCTTTAATCGCCCGCTCGCACGTGCATCTTTTTCTCCCACCTTCCCCTCCCCCTCCTCCCCTTCTCCTTAAAAAAAAGGCAAAATCTCTGACAGCGCCGATCGCGCAACAAACTCTCCCTAAAAATCTCTCCGCCACACTTTTTTTTCCATTCCAACCGGAAGCACGTGAGGATGGTCCGCACGTGGAAAGGGCCAATGAGCGGCCCGGGAATTCTGTGACGCCCCTGACGCGAGCCAATGAGCTGCGCTGGAACTTTGCAGAGCCATTATCCGAGGGGCTGGCTAATTCAGGGAGAGAGAGATTTACGCTTTCCTTGACGCATCCCTTCTAAACCCTGCTTCTAGTTCCCATTTCCACCCAGCCGGGGACGTCGCATCTAGTCGTTATTAATATATTTAAAGAATAATTAGATGCACACATGTATACATAAAATAAGCCCACAAATAACTTTTCCCAAGTCCAGAAGTCTATGCGTGTCACTTCTAATGGCGATTTGCAATGGAATCTTCCTTCTGGGTCCTTTTTTTTCTTTCTTGCTAAGGACTAAAAGCTAAAGAGATCGGAGTTCAATTTTAAAATCCTTTCCCATATTTAAATCAAACTAAAACTAGGTCATAGGGGGAAATTATCTGTTTCCGAGGATGACTCCCAACCAATTTTGAGAGTCTTCCAGCCAGATTTCACCTCTGGGTTCTGCCATTGGAGTATTAAAGCTGCTTATCTGGGAATAAGCTCGACTGAACAGTTAGATTTACTTTCCAGTAGACCTGTCTAATATTGGGATGTAAGAGACCAACATGGAGGAGTTGGTTTTAACAAAACAACCCTCACCTTACCTTTAAAAATTAAGAATCACCATCTCAGGACTCAATTTGTGCTAAATCCAGTTTCACTGATTTGAATGAGAAATTTTCAGCGCGGTGCTGCCTCCCCTTCTTACTCAGAACTAAGATCCCATTGCATTCAATGAGGCTTGTTTTCATGGAAGCGCGCACAGGTCTGCGCGCATCAGGCTCTGCCATTACAAATGTAACGCATCAAAAGGACCGTGTGGGATCCGACCGAGGTCCATCTAGGCCAGCATGCTATTCCTCCGCACGACGAGCAGCCAACTGCCCATAGGAAACCCACGAGCAGGACGTGAGAGCGACAGCACCCTCTGCCCATGTTCCCCAGCAACTGGGTACGTAGTCATATTGTGTCTGCTAGTGGAGGTAGGAAGGGCTTCTGACTACTCCTAGCCTTCCTGGACAGGAACATGTCCAGTCCCCAGACTAGTGGCCATCAGCACATCTTGTGGAAAAGAAAACCAAAACTTAAAACTGCACTTTGCAGAGAAATACTTCCTTTTATCTGTCCTTTGGGATCATGGAAATCCATAGGAATTCAACTGGTTTCATTCTGCATTGCGGCCTTGGTTTGTCTAAGTTGTGGTGGTTTGTTGGTGGGCTTTAGGCAAATGCTTTTTGTCAGTCCGGAGAACATCTATAACTATTTATCTCTTCCTCAGGCATAATTATATAAGCATGCAAATGTTCCCGTGGTGTTTTCACACATGAACAGGTTGGATTTAAAAAAAACCAGCTGATAGTGTTCCTGGATAGATAGTGTCAGTATAAAGAGCAGAGAGTGTTCCCAGACAAGCCTACGGTTGAATAGACTGTTACAAAATCAAACGTTTATCACCTCGACAGTGACACTGAGCTGCCAATACTGCCCCCCAGCCCCCAAATCAGCAACACTAATAATAGCCAAAATTGACCTCCTGTAGTTTATTTAGACACTGGTTTATTTTGGTTGGCTGGCTTTTGAAACGGGGCTGGATCCGTCCGTTGTTGGATTTTGTCTGCACGAGGTTGCTCTCTAATACAACATTCTCCTTGGTTTAATCATTTTTGCATGGATCATTTATTGTTTCCAACACACAAACCCACCCACACTTTCTCTTCATCTTCGAAACCTGGCACTATTCGGAAATATTTTTTTTTAAGTGTTTTAGTGGCAGGAAGCTGAAAAAGGATTTGCTGGGTCATGGCGTGGGTGACGTCCTAGGTCAGAAGCTTTGCCTATCGAAGACTATGCGCCTGCTTCAGGTGTCCAGAAAGATGCTTAGACTGCAGGTGGGGGGGGGGAAGAGGAGGAGGAGGGTTTCCTGTGACTAGAATGTTCTCCCCAACCCACCCATTTTAGAGATTGATTTGTAATTGACAAATCAGATAATTTCATGTGTTAGGGGGAAGAGACTAATAAGTCCCGCAAATACAGATTCAAATCACTGAACTGAGAGATATTCTTCTTGCAAGTCCAATAAAGATTCATTGTTCCTTATTCATTAAATAAGAGTCTCCCACAACATAGAGGATTTAAGTTGCAGAATTATTTGAGAAGGCATCTCAGAAGGTCCAGCTTCAAACCAACTTTAAAAGCAACAAATTTTCATTATTTGTTAAATTTATACTACAGATGGGCATATGACTGCAACCAGCACACACAGAGACCCCAAAATTAAAGGACTGTTGAACATCTGGGCATACCCACCCTCCTCTCATTTAATCACCCTCCTTCTAAAATTGGGTTTTATTTATATTTTAGTTCGCAAAAGGAGGGGGAGGACAAAAAATTGAAATCTTTATCCCAAAAGCGAGCGTGGGTACTTAATTAAATTCTAATTAGGACACTATCAATATCCCATTTAGCTGCGTAGCCTTTGTGTGCCTCAGTCTCTTTCAGAGCCGTAAATGGGGGCCCGCCGCCTTATCTCGCCTGCAAAGAGACGCCTTGAGAAGGGCTGCGAAAGATAATTTATAGGTTTTAATTACTCTTCATTCCGCCTGATCAGCTTGGCGTTCATCAGAAGACGGCGAATAAAACCTGGTCAAAAAGCACTGTCACTATTCCCTGGCACGGCGCTTAATCAAAGCAAGCAGGGCCCCTATTACACGCTGCGCGCCTCTCCACGTAATTTCCCAGCTGCTGATAAAGCTGGTTGAATAATGCTGCAGTCCTTCGGAGACACCATTTACAGAAATGACTTTATTGACGGCTTAACGTCGGTAATTCATTTTACCTTTCATGGAGTGGGAGCCGGATTTGTTGCAGTAATGGGATGATAAATGCGCTGGCGGCCCCATAGCTTTGATTAGGCGCTGGAATACGCACGCACGCACGCGCACGCACGCACACACACACACACACACGCACAGAAATGCGCGCCGCCACCCCCTCCCCTCCGCCCCACCCCACCCCCGCGCGACATCCCGAAATGGGCCAAAATCGGGCGGGCGGGCGACCCAGGGAAGGCCGGGCTGCTGCCCAGGGAAGCAGGCAAGAGCAGCGCTCGGCTTACCTGGCGGGGTCCCGGGAGCTGCGCTCCTCCGGCGGGCAAGAAGGCAGGCTGCCCTGCGGCTGGAGGGGCTCCTCCGGACAGGGTTCTGCCGGCCGCTGCGGGTGACAGCGCTGAGGAAGAGGAGGAGAGCCTCGCGCTGGGGAGGGGGGAGCAGGAGCCCACGTAACTTGTCACTCCTGTCCTCCTGGCCCTCTCTCTGAATGGGTGGCTGCCAGCTACCTAGAAGAAGGTCATCCACTGCATCTCAGACAGGAAGGGAAAAGTTTCCCGCCGCACTTAGTTCTTTGCATTTCGCATCCGCGTGGTTCCTTTTTTCTCTTCCTCAAATTTAAGAAAACCAAAGACCATTAGTATTAGCATTGTTGCTGTGATTGGTAGTCGGAGTGTTGGTTATCGTTGCTGCCGCCGCTTCCACTACTATCCCCATTTCTGGTACTCAGGTATTTTTATTCTTTCTGCATTGTTAGTGCTGGAGGCTACCAGCAAAATAAATACAAGGACAATGAGATTGTGCTCTTACGAAGTGTTTTTGGTGCATTGAATAAAATACGACCCCACTTTCTTTTCCTTTTCTCGTCACATGTCTTGCCACCCATTTTCATTTTAGGCACCCTTTCTTTAAAGGAAAGGAGAAGGTCGGTTGCGACGAGAATGGGCCTAAAAAGCGAACAAATGCGGCACACTCGGGATTTTGGAAGGAGAGGATCCGGATCAGAAGAAGCCGCAGCAGCAGGAGGCAAGCGGCGAGTGGGTCGGCCCCTGGTAACGTTCCCGAAAGGAAGACGGGGAGGACGGCCAGACCGGCGGGGTTTCCAAGTGCGCTCGGCGCGCTCCCGCTGGCCTGCAGCGGTGTGCTCGGATGAGTCCCACGGCACCGCACGAGGGTGCCAGATTTGTCCTAAAAGCCAGGTCGCCCCCTCCCCGGGCGCGCGCGGGTGCATCTGCCCGGCTCGCCTTCCCCATTTCCGTTTAGGAAGTATATATTGCCTACTTTAATACACACGCCGATAATCCTATTTCTAGGGCCAGATCAGATCTCATTGGGGCCTTTGGTGAAGGACATAAATGAGTTGTTGCAATACAATAGATTTCATCCTTCCTACAGGGACTGGCTGACCAGAGGTTTTGTTAAAAATGAATGCGAATAGATTTCTCCTACAAGTGCCGCATCATTATTATGAGCTGGGAGGTCAGGCTATACATTGCGGGTCCCCAAAGCCTATAGACCCTGAGAAATGCACAGGGATCCCACGTCATTGTACCTGACAATCCTTTCAATAGACTAATTCAATTAGCGCTCGGGGGATTCAGTCTTCATTACGAGGCCAGGAGACGCCGAAGGAGCGGGGCGCGGTGGCGGTGGGGCTGGGGGTCAGTCTTGGCCGTATCGACTTTTCGGGCACCGGTCGTGGGGGGCACGCAGGCCTCTGCGGGATGTTTGCAAGAACCGGATGCAAGGAGAAAGGAGTTGGGCTGCTGCAATTCGGATTGTGGGGGATTATCCGACGGCCCCCCCCCCGCCAGTCACACGCACAGACACATATACACAGACCCTTCCTCCCACGCTTCCTATCAAATCTTCCTAGGCACCTCTTTCGCTTTTGAGCAACGATTTTTCTCCCAGAGCTTCTCAGAGACAGATGTGGGAATCAGCAGTATATCTTGAAGAATGAAATGATTTGAAAAGAACAGCCCCTTTCAAGAACATGTTAAGGGTGACTCTCTTAACAAGGGCGTCTTCTCCCGCACGCGCGCCCCCGCCCCCGAAGGAGAGGTGCCGAGCTTGATTACTGATTTGTTCCCCAACAACCCTGCGAAGGTGGAGTTTCAAGGAAAGTGGGGGAGGCATTTGAAAGCCCTGCCGCTTCCAGTCCCAGGGAGATGACTTGGTAATATTGCAAGGATCTGGGAGGGAGGGAGGGAGGGGGAGTGAATTCCCCCTCCTCTTCCCTCCCTCCCTTCTTCTCCCTCCCTTCTTCTCCCTCCCTCTGCCCGGAAACTGGGACAGCCACCTGAGTGAGCTACCTCGCGGCTGGCCCAGGAAAGGTCCCTTCCGCGGGAGCGGGGCGCAGCCTCCGCCGCTTGAAGTTGTTCGAGGAGGCACAGACGGGTCCCAGCTGCGGCGGGCACACCCTGCCACCTTTTCTCCCCCACCCCCGCCCCCGTCGTCGCCCCCGGCCCAGGGCTGAAATTTGGACGGTGCAGGAGTCCTGCCCTGCCCGTCCCCACGGGGGGTGCGGGGGGGAGATCCATCGAATGGCAGCCGCGTCCTCTGCTCAGCAACGCCGCGGTCCCGTTCCGGGGTGCGGGGTGGGGGAAGGTGGGCGCCGGCGCTCAAATCCTGCGACTCGGGATTCGTGTTTGCCATGGCCGGGGGCTTTGTTTCCGGGCTGGAGAGCGGGGATCAGATGGCGAGGCTTTGATCGCCGAGCCGCCTTGGAAGCGCGAGCGGGGAAGCTACAGATGACTGCGCGCTCTCGCGCCCCCTCCCTCGCCGTCTCCCGCCGCCCCCCCCCCCCGCCGCCCCCGCGCCCGAAATGGCAGGGCTGTCTAGTGTTTAATAATGGGCGAGGATTACCTTTGCAATGACTTGTTTGGCGGTGACAGGAGCAGAAGGTGCCCTTCCCCCCTCCTCCCCCGCGAGCTGGGAAGGACCCCTTTGTGCCCTCCAGCCGAGGGGAAGTTCCATCCCGTCCCGGCATCAGGAATGCGGGCGCCCGGCTCTTTCCCTGGCGGGGCGGGGGCAGCAAAGCCCCCTTTCTCCGCAGGTGCTGCCCCCCGGAGTCCATACAGACGTGGGGAGGGGGGGGGTTGGCACGGAAAGGAAAAGAGACTAGGGATGTGCACACATGAGCTGCGGAATTTTGGTACATAGATTCAGACACGCACGCACAAACGCGTGTGCCTACGTGTGTATAATCTCTGTGTCGAGAGGGATGTGTAATTCGATAGTTAGATCTATTTGCAAACTTAATCGGTAGCAACAAATATAAATAAGCACAAAAGGAAACATTGAGACAATTCGTATGTTTTGCGCACACACATACCCACACTGACTAGAGGGCACCAGAATATAAAGGAATTAAGGCTGCCATTCTCTGCACGCTTCCTGGAGAGCCAGTAACCCTGAGCTCAGAAGGGCTTTCTTCGAGGGAGGCATTGCACGAAGGTGGCCCCCTCGCACCCCTTTTATGTGGTCAGCCTTTCTGCGAAACCTTGGGGTCGGGGCACGGAAGTGAGGCAGAAGCCCCCCCTCGGCCAGTCCAGCCATCCCTCGACTTGGATAAAACAGCCAGTGGGAAAGCTCGTTCGTGGATGCTGCAATACCCAAAATGTTCGCGCACCTTTCGTTTTCGACCCAGAAGGACGAGTGGGCATGCGTGCACCGGTCCAACTTTCTCGTCTGACCAACTCAGAAGGGGGGAGGCAAAGCCACAAGAAGTTACAGGACGCCCTTAGAGACCGCGCTCGCGCATCCTTGCGGGCGCAGAGGGTGAAGTGATTCACGGGAAAGGCAAGCAGGCAGCGTCCCCTCCATTCCAGACGGAGAGGGGCCACGAATAGGCCCCGGTCCACCACCTCGTTGCCGAGAGGCCCGGAGGGAAGCGCCCCTCGCCAGGGAGAGACCGCGGGCGACGCTTGGCTTCCTGGCCGGCCTCTGCCGCCGCTCCGCGCCCTGGCACGTCGACCAGCGTCCGCCTGACCCGCGGCTCCGGCGCTGGGACCGATGCTCGGGCCGTCGCTCTGAGCTGAGCCGGGCTGCGGGTGAAGCGGCGCCCCCCGCCCTGCCCGCCTGCTTATAGGGCAGGAAGAGCCCCAGGACACCCCGCGGTGCCACGCCAGCCGCTTCGGGATCGCGCCGCTTTCGGTGGCCAGACGCGGACCTCGGCGGCGCCCCTCGGGCTAGAGACTCCAGGGCTGTCCATTCAGGCGGAGGGACGGTGCGCGGAAGAAGGGGCTCGCCATGCCCCAGCCCCGCTCCTCTGAACGAGGAGACGGAACGAAATAGCCCGCTCTTCTCGTTCGCCCATACACGTGTGGCAGGTGGGGCGGGGCGCCCCCCTTTACCTGCCTTGCATTGTGACACACTAGCTGGGCGCATCGGGGAGAAAGCTCTTCCTACCAAGGGGGAGACCTCTGCGATGCGGGGCCCCATCCCGCCTTGCCGTCACACCTTCAGCACCCCCAGGGGGTGGATTTAGCTGTCTCCGCTTACCTGTAGATACCCGCGCCTACAGGTGAAGAATGGGAAATGGGAAGGCCCGCGCAGGTGCTCGCCCTCGAGTTCAGATCCCCGGGATAAACGCCAGGCTTGGCTGGACGGCCAGTGGCGGGGTCGCCGGGGGGCTCATGGAGAGCCCGTGCTCGGCCGCTGTGAATCGTCCTGATCCTCGCTCGCTTTCCCCAGCCTTTCAACGCTGCACTGCAGGCCCGGCACTGGCGAAAGAGCCCTCCGCTTCGGCGCAGGCTCCGGGAAGAGCAGCGGCGCCCGGACGGGCGGCACGGAGGGCGCGAAGAAGGCATGAGGCCGAGCCGGGCGCGGGGCCGGGCGGAGGCGAGGGCCTGGCCGCGGCCTGCGCATGGGAGGCCGCCCAGCCGCCCGGCCCACGCGAAGCTGCCCTAAGGCCTCCGCGGAAGGCAGCCGAGAGATGCACGCAATCGACGCGCGATCGAAGGGGGCGGCGGTCTCCGGCTGTATCCCCCCAGGGGAGCGGGGTCTCTTTGGGACCCACAGAGGGGCCTTGGACCAGTGTCTCTGCGCCTGCACTGCAGCCTCCTGGACAAAACTTTCCCCTCCGCCAAACGGACCCCCGCGCGCGCGCACACACACGCACACGCACGCACACACACAGCCTGGATGGCATCTCAGGATCTCTCCTGCGATTCTTGCACGTTGCTGGGTCCTCGGAGGGCCTCGCCCGCCCCACAGACCCTCACCCCCACCCCTCACGCCGCGCCGCCCTTCAGATTCGACCTCAGTGCCCGTCCCAGGCAAAGCATGCCCCCTTAGCATTTAGCTAGGCGAGAACAAGGAAGGGGGGGGGGTCCTTCTTCCTTTTCCAAAACGTGACGACAAACTTCACCCGCCCGCAGCAGCCGAAAATGAGTGAATGAACGAGACGTCGTTGTTAGTTTAAAAAAAGAAAGAAAAATGGCAGAAAAACTGGCGTGTGATTCGTCACCGTCATTCAAATGCCCTGAATTTGTAATTAATTTGTTGTTAATGATGTTATGTAAGAAGGCATGTTTGGAGGGGGATGGGAAAACAGATAAGGTAATTAATGGACAAATTAATTTATCCAAGAGCGCGCAGGGTGGGGGGGGGGATCTCGTGGAGCTGCGCCATGCGGGGATTTTCCCTCCTCCGAAGTGAGTTCGGCAAGGGTACCCTGAGGCCGGTCCCTCCAGCTCCCTTTAGTTCCCCCAAAAGGGAAACTTCTCATAAAAAAGCTGAGAAGCGCACCCCTGTTAAGTCCAAGTCGAAACCAGCCCCATAGAAACCACTGCGAACGAGTTCCGAATAAAAGTGGCAGGCGGCCTGAAAAGAGGGGTGCGGGGTCGCTCTGCGGTCCTAGTGCTTAACGGGACAAGTAGTTGTGCTACTGGCACGCACCTCGGGCTTCCTTTCCAGCCCCTTCGCAGGCTTCTCTTGCACACGCGCGAGCACACACGGGGAAGGAAGCGGGGAGGGACGCAACCCGCCAGGCGAGCGAGGCCGAAAGGTTTTGCAGGCCGGGGCGCGGGTGCGAAGCGCTGAGGGCGACCGCCCGTCAGCTCCGGACTTCGACAAGCTCCCGTCCCAGTTGCGCAGGGAGCAGCCGCAGGGCGCCCGGCGACCGCGGAGACGCACGAAGGGGCCGTGGAGAGCGCGCAGTGCTGGTCGCAGGGCAGCGCTGCCTCCACGCGCTTGCTCGGCCTCGCCCCGATGGGCTTACATAGGATCGCCCTGCGTGAGCACCCCTTAGAAATCTCTCACTCTGGGTCCTCCCAGAGAAAGCGAGCGGTTTCTAAGGAGCACGACTTTCACCCCAGGAAGGGACCTGCCACACTCGCGCTCCTCCCCAGGAGGGAACGTGCCCGGTGCGCGCCCAGAGCTTCCTTTGGTTTCCGCGCAACTTCGCAACTCGCTCTTTGTTCTGGCATTAACCCACCCAGGACGGGCCTGGGAGGGGAAGCACGAAGAGGGGGCGATCCTGGTTGAGGCTCCACGGTTACAAATGTGTGTTTGTGTGTGGGGGATAAACAATACGCGTTTTCTGGACATGGAAGACCCCCCGCCCGAAGCCTCTTTTGGGGCTTTCGTTGTGAGTCTGTGCTAACTTTGCGCCTGGTCTTGCCCATTCCTTCCTCCTCCGAAAGCCTCCGGCCTAAACTTTCACTTCTTGTGCATTTCCCATCCTTGCCTCCTAGACCAGACACCTCTGAATTCCCCGCTGAGCCAGCCAAGCCAGCCGGCTGGTCCCAAGCGCTGGACGCTCTTAATTGCTACTGCGGACGTTTCTCACGTGCAGTGCCTTGGGAGCCCCCTCGCCCCCAAGCAACACAGCGGCCGAACTGCCAAATACACGTGCATAGGAAACGTCTGGAGTGTGCTTTAGGATCTCAGAATCGATCTGCAACATTCTCCCCCACCAACCCACCTCTTTCTTCTGCAATTCAAATGTCATCCGTCTGTCCATCCGCTGGTATTTGAGATGCCAGCTTTCAAATACCAAAGAAAAGCAAGCTCTCAGCCCCGCTCCCAGGATAGCCAGCTATAGAGGTGGATGTCAAATTATATGAATAGAATCCCTTGCCCAAATATTGATTTCGGATCCACTGCTACAGGTGTCTACCACGTGTGATCACGAAAAGTGTGGGATAGCTTTTTTTTTTTTTTATGAAACTGTGCTTAGAGTAATTTCACAGATGTTTGAAAACTGCATCCCAGAACAAGAAAAACCCCACCATCTTTCAACTTTCAAGCAGCGGGAATAAAGAGGGCAAGCTCTGTGCCAGGAGCTGCACAAGCAGTGCCCCGTGGCTGCTGCTCCGTGGCAAGAACAGGGGCTGGGTCATCTCCGGGCAGCAGGCTGGCCGCAGACAATCACGTCGCTCTTAAAAAATAAAAATAAAAAACCCAAAAAGAGAAGGCACATGATTTTAGGAAAATCTCAAAAGCAAATAAAAGGCAGCATGGTAAACATGACCAGCCCAAATCAAGATTAAGAAACTCCTCTCCAAAGTAATGATGAAAGTCATCGCAACCAGCTTCTTCCCGCTGCAAATTTCGAAAGGGACGGCAAAGCAAGGGAAAGCGAAAGAGCGCTGCCTGGCGAGGAGGGGATGGGCGCCGTCCCCGCGGAGCCCGGCGTGTGCCTGGAAAGG